GGAAAGAGTTAGCGAAGGCCAGGGCTTTAGTCGTAGCGAAGACAGGGGAGGAATCCGTGAAGGCAGCGACCACCGCTGCAGGGTACCGACGGGAAGAGCAAGTGAAGACGTCCGCTTCTCCCGCAATGACTCAAGAAGGGTCAGTAAAGACCTGGGGCACCGTCGCAGTGTCTCTCAGGAGAGAGTCAGGGGAGACCGTGGCCACTATCCCAGCAACTCTTGGGAGAGAGTAAGGGGAGACCGCAGCAGCGACGTGAGTTTAAATGAAGTCGGAAGCCACCCCACTAGTGACTCCGGGGGAACGGTCAGAGAAAACCGCGGCCTCCATCTCAGTGGGACTTGGGAGGGAGTCAGGGAGCTCCGGGGTCCCCGAACCAGCGACTCCGGGGAGAGAGGCAGTGACGACCACAGCCGCCGCCTCAGTGGCTCTTGGGAGGGCGGAAGTGTGGATGGCGGCCGCAGCCTCAGCAGTTCCTGGGAGGAGGGGCTGAGTGAAGACCGCGGCTACGTGGCCAGCGACTCCTCCGTCGTGAGCGTCAGCGAAGACGCCAGCCGCCGCCGCTTCTGGGAGAGAGAAAGCGAAGACGAAGGTTCCCGCTGCCGGGGCTCCTGGGAGAGAACGACGGAGGACGGCGTCCCCGGGCCTAGCGACGACGAGGAAGACAGCCGCTGCTGCACTGGCTCGTGGGTGACAGCGAGCGAAGACCGCCGCAGCAGCAGGGGCCTGGACTCGATTCCTCCCCGGAGTCCGAGGGGTCGCACCATGCCCGGGGTGTCCGGTTCAGGCCCCTCCACCTTCTCTACGGAGACTGCGACCCCATGTGAGTCAGATTACTTCACTGGCCCTCGTCTCCAACACACTTCTTTTCTCACTTCAGCTCATAGGAGCTTCGCCCCTTCTGGCAGTTCCCTTTCTCACCTGTCACTCCTCATTTCCCTTAATTGACCTGTTTTCAGTAGGTCCCAAAGCTGCTCACCTGGCCCCCATCCTTCCTCATTTCAGCTTTACTTCCTTTTTTATTTTTCTATCTGCGCGCATTCCTGAGACTTCGTTCCCAGCTGACATCAACTCTTGTTAAAATGTATGGACCCTTTTAAGTTCTACCGTCTCTGCAGCATTTGACTCTGGAGATAATATTAGACTTATCTCATTTTCTTCCTTCCACTCTACTGACTCTATCTATCTACTTACTTACCTACCTACCTACCTACCTACCTATCTACCTATCTATCTATCTATCTATCTATCTACTTATCTACCCCGAATTTTCTTCTATCCTCTTCTTAAAACGTTGCTTTTTCCCTTGGATAGTGCCATCATTAGTGCTTTTTTCCTTGTTATGTACTATGGCTTCAACCCTAGTTACGACCCCGGAATCTGTTATTCATTCAGTCATCCAGTAAATATTTATTGAGTGCCTATTATGTGCTTTGCCTTAAGGATATGTAAGCAGAGAAGACAGGCACATTCCTTCCTTCTAGTGGGGAAGATGAATACTCAGCAAGTAATTACTGGTGTGATGAATGCTATAAAGAACAGTAGAGAGCCATTGGCTCCAGTATAGGGTGAGGTTGGGGATCAGAAAAAGCTGCCTAATACTGAGACATAGCTAACACTGAGAACTCAACTCCAGACCTCTCACTGGAACTGCAGACTCATATGTACAACTCCTTTCTGGAACTCTTCCATGGGCATCTCAAGATCAACACATTCAGAATATAATTTTGTATTCATATGCCCTCTCTGTCCTTTAGTGTTCGCTGTCTCAGTGGCAGTACACCACTTATGTAACTAAGCCAGACACTTTGGAGTTCTCCCATTACTTTTCCCTTATTTCACCCACTATATCCATCCAAGTTCAATTCATCCTGCTTCCTTAATACATGTTGAATCTGTCTCCTTTTCTGTTCCTACTGCCATTCACTTGGTTGAGGGTCTCAACCTCTCTGGTGTAGACTACTGTAGATATCTTCCTACATGGTCTCCCTGAGTCTATACTCTTGCCCTTTGCTCAATGAATTCGCCTAACTCAGCATTACAAATCTGATCATTCTTATTCTTCTGCTTAAAATCCCTCAATGACTCCCCACTGCTCAAGTTCAGCAAGTTCCAGCATAGCCTGCCTCTTGTCTAATTCTAGCCTCTTTTCCTTCCACTTTATGCTTCAACAATAGGGTGGGTATTTTTATAGTTTCTTGACCTGTCCAGGATACCTTTCCCCACATCCATTTCACCTGGCGAATTCCTGCTAATCCTTGAAGATTCATCTTAGGTGTTACCTTCTATAGGAATCTTTTTCTGCTCTCCTTCCCTCCTACCCTAGCTGAGTTAGAAGTCTTCTGTGCTTTCATAACTCCTTATGAATATTTCTGTCATGCTCTTACTACATTGTTTTGTAATTTGTGTTTGTATATCTCTGTGAGTCCCTTGAGGATAGAGACCATGTCTTCTTTATCTTTTTATCCTTATGGTAGATACCAGATTAATGTTGAGTGGATAGATGGGTGGATGAATGAATAAATTGGAACGGAATGTGGTGAGAAAAAAGGCTGTCAAATTAGATGGAGCCAAATTATGGGAGGGCATAGACTGTCATACTGAGGGTTTGGATTTGGTTCTCTAGACTAGCAGTGGATAACCAGAAGCAGTTCAGAGTGGAGGAATGAAGTGATCAGAATAGTGTCCTTGTATACTATGGATTAGAGCGTCCCTGCATAAAATGTATTAGAGTGGGTAGAACATCATTTGTAGACTTGCAGTACTAGTTTAAAGGAGAATAATGGAAGTCCCTGGAGGTCCAGTGGTTAAGACTCCGTGCTTCCACTGCATGGGGCACGGGTTCGATCCCTGGTCGAGGAGCTAATACCCCGCATGCCTTACGGCATGGCCAAAATATAAAAAAAACAAACATAAAGGAGAGTAATGAAGGTCTGACCTAGGGGGTTAACATCATTAAACATTTACCAAGTGGTTTGGTTTTCTCGGGGTGCTTTGTTACTCTCTTTCCCATATGCATAGATCTTAATTTTTCTTCAAAGACTTCCTCGAGTGTTTCCTCCTCCTCCTTTATTTTACCTGTAATCTCTTAGGATGTTACTGTCAGGTTTTCGATTTCATCGAATTTATCCCAATAGATTTTAAAGTGTCAGTGGAAAGAAAATGTCTTAAATCCATGTCTATTCATTGTGTTATCATAGTGCCTGGCATATGGTACATGCTCAAAGGACTTTTGAGTAAAATGCATAGCATTTTGCTAAGGGTTGGTATAAGATATGATTTCAGCCGCCAAGAAATTAACATGCTAATTGTGGAGAGAGGACATATACATAGATAAATAGTAATACAAGGCTGCATAGATTATCTGCCAGAGGTGTTGGTGAGTTCTTTTCAAAACAATTTGAGTTCAGGAATTGTGCCTGTTTGTTTGGTTTAGGAAATGCTTTGATTGAACTATTTACTTCTTCTTTCTCCAACAACTGTCTGTTCGTGCTTAGATACTTTTATTACTTCTGGTTCACAATGCACATTAAAATATTTCACGGTACAGTAAGACTGACAATCCAGTCTTGATGTTTGGAACATTATATTATAAAATATAAGACACTAGAATATATGAAGTAAAAATTGTGACCTGCCATTCCTTTCTTAGTGTAGGACATATGAGAAAGATATATTAGTAAAATATATCTGCCTATGTGAGATAAGGTTCTGGTAAAGTCTTTTTCACTGGAGAGTAGGCCTTTGTTACAGAGAATAGCTGGGCAGATTTCAAAATGGTTACCTCTCTCCTCCTTTACCAAAGACATGAGGTGATTTTTCTTGGTTTTTCACAGTGATAACCTGGTGGAGTTTTGAAGGTAAAATCTGTGAAAATGAGGGGACCTCCTAAGACTATGGCCCCGAGAAGTTTCTCATTGTTAGGCTACTACATACCCAGTCCCCAGCAATTTGTCAAAATTACTATTTAAGTGTTTTTAGAAGCTTATGGTTCTAGTGACTTCTGCTCCAGGTAAGCTGAACTTGACCGTGTTTCTCTGTATTTGCCTGTTTCTCCAAATTCCGGGTGGCCGTTTGTCCCGAGACCTCAATTCTTTGATGAGTGCGAGAAAAGTTGTTGACTTTGTTTGTTCTACTTTTTTCATGTATGGATGGGGGTGACAACATCCGTGCTCTTTACATATTAGAGCTGCAATTGAAGTCAGATTAAGATGTTAATCACAAACATCTTTGTAGTAAATTATTTGGAAAGCCAAAGTGATTTTGTACTTTCAGTTCAATCGTTGCTTTAGTCTTTTTTCAGTTTTGTAATATATTTTAAGCAATTTTGTTTTTCAATAGGTGCCAGGAAGAAAGTGCATTTTGGTAGCATACATGATGCAGTACGCGCTGGAGATGTAAAGCAGCTTTCAGAAATAGTAGAACGTGGTGCCAGCATTAATGAAGTTGACATTCTCCATAAATTTACCCCTTTACATTGGGCAGCACACTCTGGCAGTTTGGAGGTAAGAAACTATATAAGTTATTAAACTGAGGTAAGTTTAGCGCTGTTGACAGTTTTGTAAATTTAGCAAACAGGACTGAGGCCTTATGCTAGGCAATGAAAATATTTTTCTTTTCTTTTTTTAAAAAAAAATATTTTATTGAAATATAGTTGATTTGCAATGTTGTGTTAATTTCTGCTGTACAGCAGAGTGATTCAGTTATACATTTATATACAAATATTTTTCTTTTCAGTTCAGTCTAACATTTGGGTGTTCTGGTTACCTTAGTAATAAGTTATCCTAAAACTTGGTGGTATAAAATAACCATTTATTTATGCTCAGGAGTGAACCAGGAATTTGGATTTCAGGGACAGCTTGTCTCTACTCCATGATGTTTGGGGCTCTACCTAGAAGATTTAAAAGCCAGGGCTGGAATCTTCTGAAGGCTTGTTCACGCAGACATCTGGTAGTAGATGCTAGTTGTAGGCTGCGCCCCTTGATCCCTCTCCAAGGGGGTCTTTTTGTGAGGTCCCCACATGTGGGTTGGTCTGTGCTTCCTCACAGGGTGGTGGCGGGGTTCCTAAGGCAAGCATACAGGGTAACTTGCAGAGGATAACGTAATGCATACCTGGCTGTATCAAATCCTAATATTTTTGCTGTAGTTGCTTCAGATTTTTGGAAAAGAAATGGAGTATCACAGATACATTTGAAGTCCCTGAGCACCCCTCCCAGGTGTCGTTTCTCTCCTTCCAACTCCAGAGATAAATATTACCCTGAATTTGGTGTTTATTATTACCATATATGTTTTATGCTGTTATTACATATGATTATATCACTGTTTTAAAGGGCATGTTTTATATAAATGTCATCATATTATTTGTATCATTCTGCAGCTTGCTTTTTTTGTTCAACAATGTGTTTTTGAATTTTAATGACGTGATTACATATATATACTCTAGTTCATTCCTTTCAGCCATGTTGTAATAGTCTATTCTTAGATGAATATCAGAATTTATTGATTTTTTTGATTGATGGATATTTCATTCGTTTCAATTTTTCACTAGTACAAAGCAGTGTTTAGTGAATATTTTTATGCACTTCTTTTTTTATTAATTTATTTTATTGAAGTATAGTTGATTTACAGTGTTGTCTTAATTTCCGCTGTACAGCAAAGTGATTCAGTTATATGTATGTATATATATTCTTTTTCATATTCTTTTCCATGTTAGTGTATCGTAGGATATTGAATATAGTTCCCTGTGCTGTACGGTAGGACCTTGTTGTTTATCCATTCTGTATATAATAGTTTGCATCTGCTAATCCTAAACTCCCAATCCATCCTCTCCCACCCCCTCCCCCTTGGCAACCACAAGTGTGTTCTCTATGTCTGTGAGTCTGTTTGTGTTTCATAGATAAGTTCATTTGTATGCACAACTTCTTATTCTTGGGCTGTGTGCAAAGCCAACTGGAATTTTTCTCACGATTCATGGTTGTGTGTGGGGAGCTTATTTTAGCTATTACATTTCTCCAGTCTGTAGGCTGCAGTAGGTCTATTCACTATTCAACTCTCTTTTTTCCCTGCCACACAAACAGAGTCTGCTTTCCATGAATATGGCTTCTCTGTGTGATTTCTTTGTTTGGGCTTTTCTGCTTTTGGAACCAAATCTGGTCCAAAGAATCTCTCTCCACCAGTTTGTGTGCCCCACTTGAACTGTAGGGGTTTTTGCTTTGGCCTTTTAGTGGCTTCCTCTCACCTGGGAGAAATGTGCCTTGACGGGTCTTTCTGTGCTTGCAGCCCTGCGTGGGGATTTTCTCTGCTGTTTGCTCCCACATTCCTGTTTGATCTATACTTTGGCAGCTTTCCCATCTGTTTTGTGGTTTCAGATATCTCCTAGCTTCATCAAAGATGGGGTTTTCTTGCTCTTTTTTAAATTTTTTAAATGATTTTGAAGAGAGGAGGAAATACTGATTTTACTCTGCCATATTTGAAATAAGATAGGACTTGTTGCTCTACCATTTATTTCATCTCTTTCCTGGGATCTTTTCAGCTTCTCTGATTAACCTACCTGCCTTCTCTAAAATCAGTGGTTTTCTTTATGCTCTTGCCAATGGGTGTCTCTCTTCAACTTTACACTCTCTCTCCAGGCCATTTTTAGACTTCCTTGGCTTAATCACTTCTACATAGTAATTCATTGATTCTCTTTCTCTCCAGAATTTGAATTCTGGTTTCTGCATCCGGCGCTTATCAACAGCTCATGCATATCTGACTGGCATCTTAAATTTAGTTGGTCTAAAACTAAACTGTTATTCTTTTCCCTCCCTTTCTTAGTTTTCCAGGCTAATGTCCTTTGCATCATATTGAGTTGTCTCAGGATTTTACAGAAGCAAAACACAGTATCAGCATTTGTCTAGGTCAAGTGCTTCATGATGCACATTGATGTAGTGAGAACTGATCCCTAAGTCAGTTGATTCTGTTCTGTCTTTGTCTCTCAAATTTGTCCTTTACACCTTCATAGCCACTGCCTTAGAGCTACTTGATTTCCTTCTTTCCTCTCTTGTCTACTTCTAGTTCATAACGGGCATACAAAATTATTGCTCTAAAACAAAAATCTGCTATTACTTAAAACCTTCCTTAAGTCCCAGTAGTGACTCTTTATACCCTGTAGGATAAAGCTATTTAAGCTATTTAATACGGTAGACTTACCTCTCCAGCCTCATCTCCCATCAGACTTGTTTCATGTTGCAGTACTGGTGACTACTGTCATTTCCCAAACTAGTCCACTGTTTCATATTATCATAGACTGTGTACATGCCGTTTCATCTGCCTGGTCTCACCTCTTCCCAGTGGTTAGCTTGTTGAAATCCAGGTCAGGTAGCACCCACTTGGCAGGGCCTTCTGTGTTTCCCCCCTCAGTATCCTCCAACTAGCAACTTTTCCCTCAATTTTATACACATTTAAAAAATTGTATTTATCACATTGAATTGCATTCTCTGTTAGATATTTTTTAATATTCTTTTTAAAAAAAATCTTTATTTATTTATTTTTTATTTATTTGGCTGTGCCGGGTCTTAGTTGCAGCATGCGGGATATAGTTCCCTGACCAGGGATCGAACCCGGGCCCCCTGATTTGGGAGCACGGAGTCTTAGCCACTGGACCACCAGGGAAGTCCCTCTCTGTTAGACTTTGAGCTCTTTGAAGGTACCATTTGGGTTTTATTTATCTTTTTTTCCACAGCATCTAGCATAGTGTCTGGCATATTGGAGTCACATTGTGGGTTCCCAATAAATGTTTGTTGTATTGATGAATTTGTTGAATTAAATTTATATTTTTACTGTCTAGCATAGTGCATAGCAGCTGTTCAAGAAATGTTTGTTAAATTTTAACAAAAATAAATCTAAATCAAAAGGTTTTGGCGACTTTCTACTTTCCCATTTGAGGATCATCTCCTAATTCTCTACTTGAGTACTGCATTAATACCTTTACATTTTGTTATCCTTTCTGAAATTTCTTAAGACTCATGGTACTTATGTTGGTAGTATAAAATTATCACTAAATTAACAGCTGGTGAAAACTGTGCTTTGTTAGACTTCATTTTTTTTCTCCTGTCAGATGAAATCAGCTTTTGAGCCCCTGTAGTAAACTTTTATTTCAGATATACTTTGCACCTTCAGAATTTTCTTTTTTTAAAAAAATTTCTGTCTCTTTATTTTCTATTTGATGAATCATGGTCATCATATTTTTGTTTAATTCATTAAACATAAATTTTTTTTTTTTTTTTTTGCGGGTACGCGGGCCTGTCACTGTCGTGGCCT